TGAGAGAAGCATGGAAGCTAGCAATAAAAAAAAAGGAAATTATTTATTTATTGATCATCTTTTACATCACCAAGAAAAAATATTAGGACAGAATGTTTTTCAGTTAGTGCTTCCCCTTAGTAGAAGAGCACAAGTGTTGGAATTAGCACATAGTTCCATTTTCGGTGCACATCTTGGGATAAGAAAAACAAAGGAGCGAATACGATATTCATTTTATTGGCCTGGATTAGCACAAGATGTTGAAAACCTTTTGTAAAACGTGCAAAGATTGTCAGTTGAAAAGTCCAGAAAAGCGATCTGACAAGATTCCCATCACACCGGTCAGAAGGCCAGGATTACCTTTCGAAACAGTTAACATCGACATTATTGGACCTATTGAACCTCCCTCTGGCTAGGAAACATAAATATGTGTTATGTCTGGTAGATCAACATTCCCGATGGCCAGAAGCCATTCCACTGAGAAGCTTGACAGCAAAAGCCACTTGCGACGCGCTTTTGGAGATTTTCATGAGAACAGGAATCCCTAATACAATAGCTAGTGACAACGGAAGTAACTTCGTTTCAAAATTAACTAAAGAATTCCAGAAAAGACTAGGTTCTCACCCTAGGTTCTCTACACCTGCTTACAGTGCTTCAAATGGATTAGTAGAAAGATGGAACAAGTCCTTCAAGCAAATGTTACATCATGTCATCAGGACTGATCCTTCGAATTGGGATAAGCACATCCCATACCTGCTCTTTGCATACAGAGAAGTACCAAACTGCACCACGGGTGTCTCACCATTTCAGCTGATGTATGGAAGACAACCAAGAGGTCCTTTAGCAGTACTGAAGTCTTCATGGTCAGGAGAAATACCTATACCACCTAATCTAAGTGAATCGGCGGCAGTGGATTACTTACAACATTTAAAAATAAGGTTAGAACAAGCAGCCGAACAAGCCAATTTAATTGCAAGTGATAAACAACAAAAATATGCTGAGTACTTTAATCGGAGATCAATACCAAAAAATTTCAAAATCGGGAGAACAAGTTTATTTACTCATACCAGATTCAAATAACAAACTCTATGCACGATGGACTGGTCCAGGAGAAATCGTGAATCATTGCCCACCTCATTCCTATAAAGTAAAACTACCTGATGGAAAGATCAAACATGTTCATGCAAATAAAATTAGAAAATTCCAAGCTAGTGTCAATGCAGTTGGAGTGATATTTGAAAATGAAGAAGAATTTGGAGAAATTATAACTTTACCAGGAAAAGATCTCTCGACCCCCCCTGGAAGATTTTAAAATAGATGCAAATCTGAATTTAGAAAATTTGAATCCGCAGCAGAGAGAGAAAATTGATAGCTCTTATCAACAAACACCGAGCACTATTCACCGGAAAGCTGAAAATAGCTAAAGTTGAAGCTCATAAAATTAGATTAATACCCAATATGGGAGAGAAGAAAACCTTACATTTATAGGATTCCTGAAGCATTGAAACCCAAGGTCGATGAAGAAGTAGAAGAATTATTGAAATCGGGACTAATAGAAGAAAGTAATGCAGAAATAGCTCATCCAGTAGTTTGTGTAAGCAAAAAAAATGGAGATATCAGATTGTGCTTAGATTATCGAGCTTTGAATGCAGTGACGAAGCCAGATGACTTTCCTATGCAAAATGCCATTGATTTAATGTACAGTATAGGAAGAGCCAACGTCATAACAACTTTAGATTTGCTGAAAGGATATTGGGCAATTCCCTATGGAGGAACAAAGTAAAGAGTACACATCGTTCAAAACTCATCGAGGTCAATATCAGTTTAAAGTGCTACCCTTTGGATTAAGGAACGCAGCAGCAACTTTTCAGAGAGTAATGAATAACGCGCTGAAAGAATTTCAACAATTTTCAAGAGCCTATATTGATGACATAGCTATATTTTCCACGGATTTCGACACTCATCTCCGACATCTGGATAAAGTTTTTACCAAACTAGAGTCACTTGGATTTACTATCAATTCGAAGAAATGTTCGTTTGCAAAACCTCAAATTAAATATTTAGGACACATCATTGGATCAGGAAAACATCAACCAGATCCCGAGAAAATAGAGGCAATCAAGAAGCTGGAAACGCCGCGCGAAAACGAAAACGAAAAGAGATCTTAAAAGTCTGTTAGGACTATGTAATTATTATCGCGATTATATCCCAGGGTATGCAGAGATCGCCTACCCACTCACAGAACTCACGAAAAATAAACAACCGGAAAATACTCGAATGGAAAGAAATTCATGAGTCAACATTTCAACAACTGAAGGAACGATTAGCGATTACTGATGTCAACGGAGCTGATCACCCCAACACTGCAGGATCCGTTTGTCATTCATTCTGATGCATCCCAAATCGGAATAGGTGCATGTTTGTCACAGCAAAGGGGAGAGAAGCAATTTCCCATCTGCTACGCGAGCAAGAAAATTATCGAAACCTCAACAGAGCTGGCCGACTATAGAGCGTGAAGCTTATGCTATAGTATGGGCATTGAAGAAGTTTTTGAACCTTGGATATTCGGTTCATCGGTGAAAATTGTGACTGATCATAATCCTCTAGCCTTTATAGTGAGAAATGCTCCGCAATCGTCCAAATTACAACGATGGGCCATAGCTTTGCAGAAATATAATCTCGAAATAGAGAACATTGCCCTGGAAAAAAAAACTGTCAAACGCGGATGCATTATCCAGACTTCCCACTTGTGAACTTTGAACATTAATTTACTGTTCATCTTCACGAACATTTTGTATAGTTAATAATTAGACAGTTTTCTTTGCTTTTCATAATCATTTTACAATTTTGTGCAAATAAGATGTTTATGTAATTTGAAATAGATAGAGAAATTATTGGATAACAAATATTCGAGGTAAGTGGTAAATTTAGATATTTGTCTCCCAAGGATTTAAATCATGCTGCAGCATCATTAATTAAAAGGAATGTTAAGAATATAATTATATATATATATAAGAAACTTAATAATTTTACTGTCATCATTGGAAATAATACTAGGGTATATTTTAACATGTTTATAAAAGAAAATATCAACTTGGTTTCTTTGAATTAAGAATTGATAAATTGTTACAATAATAATAAGGTTCGGAACAAGTGAAGTTAAAAATGATTTATCTATGTTTATATATAAAAATGTGTTATCTATGTTTATGTAGTAAATTGAGGTATGTCTATAGTAATTGAGATTTGAAAATTAGGAGAGAATGTATAAAAGTATATGTAGTTTTTTTTTCTTTTTCACGTTGATCGCAAACAGTTGCTAGATTTTAGTTTCCAGATTGCTGATTGATTTGTAAATAATATCAACAACAATCTTACGACGGGGGTGTGATATCTGGCGACTGTTTGGCGATCAACAGAGCATGCTTGGCGCAGGTAGCTCTTCTTCGAGAAGGGTTAATGTATTTATTAAGAGTTGCATGTTAGCCTCGGAAGAGGAAGGTAGTAGATTGTACTATGCGGTAGGAGCGACGTACTGCTCTGAGTAACTATTATATTATGCTTTGAATTATATATTTAATAAATGTTTGTTTCGTCTTGCTAAATGGTGCCTTATTAAACCATGAAGTCACCACAGGGACAAAATAAATTTTAAAATAAATGGCCTAAAAATAATAGAGGGGAAAAAAAGGGCGTATAGAAAGAAAAGGAAAAGAAGTAGAAAATATCCTAAAATACGATTGTGTCCATGAGTGTAGTTAAAAGGAGTTCATTTGCAAAAATTAGTGTCTTTAAGAAGCAAACTTTAGCTAAGTTAAAAAAAAAAATAAATAAATGAATTCCTACATGGTAATGTGTAGAATAATTCGATCCCAATGGCGCATGCGTGTTTGCGCTCATGGTTGCGGATGAGGCGGTCCAACTTCATTTATGATGAGCAGTAAACGAGTCATTTTGGTGTTTGTGAGAATTTTAAAAAATCGCGCCAAGGCCGTACCGTATACTAGGATTTTACCTTACCTTTTTGTTCCAAATTTTATTATTTTCACTGTTCATGCTTTATTATGATTAATGTTTTATTAAATACTTTGCCATCTTTTGTCTTTCCAAATACAAAAATTTATATTGATAGAAATACTTATATCATGAGTTATGAGAACGTGAAACAAACCTTGGGCTAAAAATATTTATTGCTTTATTTAATTTTATGAATAATAATTTTATAAAAGCTATGATTCATTAAAATGAAAATACAATTTCTCTAGAAATAAAGCACAGTATTTGTCAAGCTCAGTCTATATTCCCTACTTAAATAGTCAAAGTCTTTAATTCATCAGTTAATATGCACTATTTAATCAACCTCTGTATAAAGAAGTTTTATTTTACTCTACTAATGCATATTCTTACTTTAATTTAAAATTTTTAGGCTTGGCATGAATGTGCAACTCCTGCGACCACCGTTATGTTTTCCAAGAGCACCGTGTTTAATGGTTTTGTTTTTTGCAGGATAAAATCTGATATATATAAACTTATTATTATTAAAAATTATCTGCTAGGTACAATATAGAAAACGATGTACACTGCTGTCAATAATTCACTTTTTGATTTATTGTAAACAGACGCTTTGATTCCATATTTAGTTTAATTTACGGTGTTCTAAATCTTATTCATCAGATTCTGACGTTTTGGAATATTTATCATTTCATTTTCCTTCTGTAGAAGTAAACCTGAGTCATAAATGGGTTATACGTGCTTCACATATAAGAATATGAATGCTCATTTTAATTAAATTTTGTAAAATATATCTGTTCTTGTAGAATAGACGACGGAGATTTAAATCGTTCAATAAATCGTGCAGTAATGCAATGTTGCCAAACAAACTGAGTCATATACTAGGAGAGTGACGGCATAATGGTATGACGACCTTGCGTCATTTCAGTCGAAATAAAAATCGCCTCGATCAGAAACTTAAATTTACGAGATTCTTTCGGTCCCATTGTTTGTTTATGAAAATGCCTTATGAGCGATTACGACAACTTGCCATATAAGGATTGTTCCATCTTCTAGTCTGTGTTTGGTTGGGTGTCAGATTCTTCGAAGTAGGCCGAACGTGCGGTGTGCGTTCGCTCACTGTAAACACCAGCACATGTGAGTTGTTTCTGAATCATCCATTATCAAAATTTGCTTTATTTTCTCACATTAAGCGAACTGTGTTTTGTATTCTATCCGTAAAACACTAAACTGATGATTGGTTTTGTTCCACGATCCTAATTATTGTGAATTTCCACAAATAAAACTTAATTTACGCCGAGGGATTGCGGCTTTTACGGCTTCCTGTGCTGTGACGTCACATGAGCGCCATCTTGTAGTAACAAGGGTGTGCCGAGAAAATCGGTAAAGTTGGGAAGGGTAGAAGTGATCGAGTTACGATAGGTAAGTTGTATGTTTTTGCATTCGATTTTCGAATTTTGTGTATTTTTAGTTCTATTAAACCCTTTTCTATAAATTTCGAAGGTTATACTTATTATCGTTTAAAAAAATAATTGCTTGCGGTTGACAGGTGCATTAGAGATATAACACAGCTGATTGGCATAGGTTTGTAATGGCTTACAGTTAAAATGCAGTTAGTGAGTAGCTTCGCGTAGTACCTGCACAGTTTACCTTAAATTATTCTTCTGTCATTTGTAGGTAAACAAATTATTTTTTGTAAGTATTAGCTGTGTTTATTTTTGCATCTCCGCTGTCGCAAAATTTAGATTTGTACTAGGTTGAATTGCTCTCTGTGTTTAATTTAAATTAAATTTTGATAACGCTGATATTAAGATTAACGATCCTATTCGCGATAAATTATTTTCAAATTTTGCATGAAAAAAAATTTATTTGCGTAAGAACATAGTTAAACCTTCACACAATGTTTAATTAAAAATTATAAATACCGTTTTTACTATAATTTTTTGTTAATAAGCCATCCTTAGAATAATTAGATGCGTTAAGTTTTTTTTTATTTCTCCAAGACTAAAATTTATTGAAAAGCTTAATTTAATCAGATATTATTCTTAAATTCAACTGCACTTTGCTGCAATCTGCATGAATATCTTTAATATTATTTCTGTTTAATGAATTATAATCTGTAAATAAGATTTAAAAACCTTTAATGCAGTTAGTGATGATTAAGATTAAAAACCCTTTAATTTTATTTCCTACCGTTATAAATCAGCAGCAGAGAAGTTGATCTATTGGAAATTTTCTGGTGAGTTTTGTCAAAATCTTTTAACCAGTGTTAGTATATAGTATATGCGATTTAAAATTAATCATCCTATCTACAGAATTTAAAGCAAATTTGGACTCACATTTAAAATTTTATCAGTATAGGAAATATTTCCTTAATGATTCGTTTCACTTTATAACTAAAATTTAGATTGTTATACCTAAGTCAGTTTATCAGTTTATTGTCCATTTATTATAGCTAAGAATGATGTGTGATATCTGTTGTGATTTTAATAGATTTTTTATAAACTTGCAATCCTGTAAAAAATTTGAGGTGATTTGTATCTTAGGCCTCCACTTTCTTTTCATCATATTGTCAAAAGTTAAAATAATTGATAGTTTTTTTTTTGGGGGGGGGGTTACTACCAAAAATTAGGGACCTTTCACTTACATTATGTTTGTTATTTCAGTAAATTTCAGCAGTAATTAATTTTTAAGGATAACTCTTAACTGCAAAATAAAATAAAAAATATTCAGGAATTGATTTAGTTAATTTCTTTTAAAAAGTATAAAAATGAGTTACACTTTAAATAAACTGGATATTGTAAAATATTGTCCTTGGTGTTTCATTAAAAGTATTAATCTTAACTTTAATCTCTTTATTTCTTGACACACAAAATTATTTCAATAGAGTTGTCAATTTGTCACTACTTTACTTAATTTACTTACCTTACTTTACTAGCAATAACCAATTTGAAATTAATGAATAATTTTTGTTGTTTTGTTGAGTTGTATTAATTTCATATGTGATAGCCTTCTTAAATTAAAATTCACTCTATTTTGGTATGAATAACTTAATTTACTAAGATAGGGACATCTGTTGTTTTTAAAAATAGGTTTTGAATACCCTTGTCTCAAGCAGTGTGAGAAAATTCATCTGTTCAAAATTTATTTTAGATTTTATTTACTTACAAATAGACACTGAAATTTCACTGTGACTCTCCTCCTTTATGTATTTAGTTAGTTTTTATTCGTACTGTTATATCCTGAATTTTTTTTAATATTCTTCATATGGTAAACAGTTTGTTTCATTACTAGAGATCTATGAGACAAAACAATGAATAATGTCAGAATTTTTATTTAAAAAAAAAAGTAGTATACAGTTAAATAATATATACATTTTTTTTTTAATTAATGGCACAGAATATTTTTCCAGCTTTTGTAAGCCAAAAGTGAATTTGTATATTAAAGTACAAGTTTATGAAAAACAATATCAAATTTTTATCATATATGTTGTAAATCTGTGTATAAAAGTTTTAACCCACTGCAGTGGCATGTATTTGATTCTTTAGGATATTTTGAAATTTAACAACTCAACAAAACTTTATCACTATCTTTTATTTTATATCAAAGTAAATTTACATATTTAAAATCAAGTGTGTCCCAGAATGATGGTCATTGTAAAATTATTTTTTTATTAAGTAAAAAAAGCCAAATGAAGCAAGTATAAAATCGGAATAAATTCAGGAAGAGTTTCTCAACATTCCACGTAAAATTCATAAAATTATATATTTTACTTCACTTGTCATTATTTTTTTTTTTTCCTCCAAATGGCACAACTAATACTACAGAATAATACACCAGATGAATTAGAAACTAAGGGAAGCAAAACCTAGTGGTAAGAATTAGCATGATATATATTAGTAATTATATAGTGCTGTAGTTTCAAATGTCAAACATAATCTTAAACTGTAAATGCAAAAATGAGATGAGAAATGTGCTTATATGAGAATATGGAAAGTTTGAGTTTTTTGGCCAAGTAGGATAAGAAGCCAGTAACCACATGATAATGTGAACATGAGAAAAATCTTCAGCATTCTGTGTTTTTACACTGCTAATTGTCTCTCTTCATCTCATTTTCGTATTTAAAGCTGAAAAAGGTTATTCTGTTCAACCTTCAAATTTTTAATATTACACATTTGTTTACTTTATGTCAATTCTTGCTACTGATTTTTGGTTTTATTAGCATGATAAAACTACTTGAGTAGAGTACATGAATCTTTTACTTAATATTCTTAATTAATCCTTATGTAATGCTCTATTAAATAAAACAGTGTTAGTCAAATGTATAGATACATATAACATACTGGGAAGTCATTAGTTTGTTTCTTCCTGTTCCTTTTCATATTTCCCTTTAAATGCTTAAAAGGAATTAAAATGAAGCCAAAAAATTATATTTTTTATTATAAAAACAAAATTTAATATATAGGTTATGGCATAAAAACTGTCTAAAGTTGTTTAAAAATTCTGCTTTTTGTATTTCCTGTTCGTTGAAAACATTTAGTGAATTTAAATTGTACGTTGAATTTGGATACTTCTTTTGAGATTCAGATTTAAGTCTGTGTGTTTTTGATATTTCACCTATGTGAAACAAACTACTCCAGGTGTGTTTTGTTTCTGGTTTTCTTTTATTCTTATTTCTTTCTTCTTTTATTCTTATTTCTTTCTTCTTTTCTGGTGTTCCTTTATCAGTAAATTTTTTATTGTTAGATTCATATTCTTTATGTTGAACAGTGTGAACAAAATTGCTGCTGCTTAGCATTTCAAGTTCAACAATTCCTGCACATTGCCAAATTTACTTCATTAAAACTTAATTTGTGTTCATTGGCAGCAGTTTTATCAATAGCTGTGAGCAGTGTCAGTTTCTCATGCATACAGGCATATAGCACATTTATAGCATGCATGCCTGTAAATTTAAAATTAAAAAAAAAAAGGAAAGAAATTATTGTTTTTCATCCTCATTCATATAGTAAAATGAGTTTTTCAATTTGTTCATGTAGTTATTAATTGCATTTAATTTGTAGTTATGCACTGAATCATTGAATTTAAGAGTCAAATTCAAAATGAGACTAATTCATCATTGCCACATTCTGTTTTTCTCGTCCCATTTTCCTGTATAAGATGATAGATAATACATGCTAAAGAGTATATTTCATTCTATTGCCGAAACACAGATGAAGAGTGTGTCTCCTGCCATCATCATCTCTGCAATAATGTGAAAATGTGGAAAAATTGCATGCTGCCACATTACTGCTACTAGAAGAAAATGTTCATTGTTTATCAATGAATTTAGCGCAGTTCATTATTATTTCTTAGTAGGCTAGAGGCGATTTTTCACCATTGAGATTTACATTGTGCTGTATATTTAATTTAGGTTGGCTAACATATATTTCTGAAAGCATTTCGGAGTTACATATGACAGAATATTCTATTTATAGGAAAATCTCTTTTCTAGAAATGTATTTTAATTTTCTAGAATAATTCAAGATTGATCCCCCTTTAAATACTGTTCAATGATGCTCTGTTGTAATTTAATAGTGTCTTTATTTTAATTGTGTTACATTTGGTATTCTTAAAGAATTTTTCACAAATAATTTATAAGTTTTCAGAGTCTAAAAATTATTATTAATATCATGAAATTTTATTACTTTCAAATCATAATCTGATAATCATATAAAAAAATTCATTAAACTATAAATATTTTTTATTTTTAATTACTGCAAATAATATTAGAAGTTGGCTATATGTTTATGCTGAAACCTGCTAGTGTTTTCAAGAACATTAACTATGTTAAGTTTCTTTAAAAAAGTTTATATTAGTACTTTTTATGATAATCTGTTCATTGAATACTCATTCATAGTGTTGCTCGTCTCTTCTCGGGACATCACAAACCTTTTCTAAACTGATATTTTATTTTTAATTGCATATAAATGCAAACCTTTCTGTCTTCAATTTGTGTAAAGTATGATGTCTTAACTTTTGGTCAAATATTTCGATCAGTTTTTTTTTTTTTTTTTTTTTTTTTTTTTTTTTTGCCAAACGGAAGACGAACCTTTTGTGTTTTATTTTTTAAAACAAGTACAACATTTTCCAAAGTATTAGGATAAGGATCAGGGGAACAAAGAAAAGGTATTTTCTTAATTTTTGCAAAAGTGACTACTTTAAAATTGCCAAAACAAGAATCTTTGTGTCATTGAAAACATTTTTGTAACTAGAAGTACTATCTTATCTACGACCAACGGCTTCAAAAGTAAAGCCTGGATAAGGACGTTTGTAGACATGGTATATAATAAGAGGCTGTTTTCAAAACTGAGTATAATTTATGAAAAGTAAGTGCATCAAAATTTTAGCAAGAAATGCTGAACAGTCACATTTTTTCATCATAA